GCCCCTCAAATTTCAGAAGCACTAGATTTGCAATGAGCATGATTAGCAACTTGCAGCCTATAGCAGCACATCCAAAAAATAGTTTAACAACTTTTAATATTTTGTTTTGTATGACTATTGGAGCTTGAACTCAGGACTTGGGTGTTTCTTTAGATCTACCACTCAAAGCTTACATTCTACTACATGAGCCACAGTTCCACTTCCAGCTTTTTGCTGCTTAATTGGAGGTAAGAGTCTCATGGACTTTCCTGACTAGGTTGACTTTGAATCACAGTTCTTAGATCCCAGCCTCCTGAGTAGCTAGGATTATAGGCATGAGCCACTGGCACCAGGCTTTTAATCATTTCTTTCGAGCAGTTTTACTGTTCCTTTTGATGTTTTACCAGCTTTGTATCAGACTGTGCCTTAAATTAATGCTCTGCATCTTAAACTTGAACATGCATCAAAATCCCTTGAAGCATTTAGGAAAGCATAAGTTGTTGGGAGTTTGTGCTTCAGTAGCTCTGGGATAGATTCATTCAGCATGTACTTCCCTAATAAGTTCCCAGGTGATGGGACGCTGCTAATCTACGTGTGTTCTACACTATGATATCCACAGGTTCACTAAGAGTTTCCGTTTCTGTCTGGGTTGATTGGAGATTATGATGAAAGGGTGGTGGTTCCTTTGCCTCGTTCTAACTCATAAAGTTCTCCAGGGTTTGAGCAGGAGGGAGGAGGAGTCTGTATTCTTTATGGTGACCAGATCCCCAATACCCTCATCATTTTATCAGGTCGACCTATCAGGGAAGGCCATGAAGGATGGGGAAAAGTTACCATTTGTAGTCTTCACCTCCCTCTGTTCCCAAAACTTAAAGCAGCTTACAATACAGAGGAAGAGACAACTATATTTGCACACATTTGCAGTGTTTGCTCCTAACCTAAATCTTCTAGCATCTTAGAGACTGTTGTAGTCCCAGGGCAGTAGTGGGAGCATGCAATGGAAATGCCCAGAGCCTTCAAGTGGCTGGCTTGATGACTGAAACTGGACATTTAGGGGCCATCAGGTGACATGGACTTGAAACTCCTTAGATGACTTGGGCATGTCTCCTGACCCGTGCCCCATTGTTAAGGAAACATCCCTCACTCCCCTCCACAACCATAAAAATCAGAGAAACAAAGACATGGGTCTGGTGAGTGACATCCTGGGGATTTATGAGCTGATGGGCAGAACACTGAGAGCCTGAGTAGAAAGCTGTTGTGTAAACACAATATATTATTAATACAACATTTAAAAATAGCATCCTATCCTCTGCTATTAATAGCTTCTTTGGGCTGCAGGCATGGCTGGGTTCTGACACACAGGCTTCCTGTTAGGAAGAGTCTCTGTGGTGATCAGATTTGCAGTACATTTAAACGAAGAGGAAAATGGGTGTTCACAACAGTTTTGAGCATATACTGGTGAGGAAAATATGGTTACAGTTCTGTAGAATTAAAATGGAAAATTTATTTTGACTTTCATTGCATTTCATCATTTCCTTTCCTTTCTCTTCCATTTTCTCCTCCCTTCCTTTTTGCCCTTTCCCCTTCTCTTTTCCCCATTTTGTGACAGTACTGGGACTTGAACTCTAGGTCTCACTTACTTGTCCTTTTCCTCAAGGTTGTAGCTCTACCACTTGAACCACGGCTCTTGCTTGTTAATTGAAGGTGAATCTGATAGACTTTTCTACCCCAGCTGGCTTTGAACTCTGGTTCTCAAATCTCAGCCTCCTGAGTAGCTAGGACTATAGGCATGAGCCACCAGTGCTGGGCTGTATTTCAGATTTCAGTGGGGCATTTGGAAGAACTGTTAGGAATCTTCTTTTGCTAACCTCATTGGTAGCAATTACTGCTCCTGAGACTCCATGGAGGGAAACATACAGGTGACTTGTGATTGGTTAATCAGTTGAAGATTCTCTCCAGAGAGAGAGGGGATGAGAGAGAGAGAGAGAGAGAAAGAGTGAGAGAGAGAGAAACAGAGAGAAACAGAGAGAGAGAAATAGAGAGAGACAGAGAGAGACAGAGAGATCCTACAATCTGCTACTGTAGATTGTAGACACTTAGACATTGTAGATAATGGTTTTTGATCTAAGGGATCTAGAGCGTACTTCTGCGTATGGATATGTAAACAAGAAGTTATGTGTTAAGACTCTTTCATCATTCTTGCATTTTAGTTGCTTTAGTAATGTAACAGATCCACAGCCCACATTTTGTGCATGCTAAGGGACATGCTCATAGTGATATGGTGAATGGTGGGTACTTATAACGTCACTGGCCTTGTCAGTATGAAGCACAGGTGTCTGCCCCCATGTCCCACCCCAAGGAGATGAGGATGCAGTGACAGGTTGCCTATAGTTCTGATATACTGGTGGTGACTACCTCACTTGTGTCTCAGGGAGACGAAGCTGACCAGTAAATACACGTACCACCACTGGGCTGTTAGGGCTCCTCAGGCTCCATCCTTCCTTACTTGCAGGATGGACATTCCCTTCCTGCTTCCATTCAGACAGCTGTGTGCTTTATGCCACAGTAGGAACTTCCTAGGAAAGGGCCTCACTTGCGTCTAGGCCTTGCATTAGATAAATATTACACTAGGGAAGTAACCAAATATAGAGTCTTGAGTTCACTCCAGAGCATCTGATAAAAATGGATCCAGACAGCTGAGCACCTCTGGTTCTCTCGTGTAATGTGAGCTACTCAGGAGGCTGAGATCTGAGCATTGTGATTCAAAGCCAATCCAGGCAGAAAAGTCTGTGAAATTCATATTTACAATAAAACTACAAAAAAAAAGCCAGAAGTATAATTGTGACTCATATGTTAGAGCACTAGACTTAAGCAAAAGAAGCTTAGGGACAGCACCAAGGCCCTGAGTTCAAGCTCCAGGACCAACACACACACACACACACACACACACACACACACTCACTCACACACACACACACTCACACTCACACACCACACAAACTAGAACCAGACTGATTCTCAAGAAACATTTAAAAAAAAGTTTCTCTAATGAATGGGAGTATAGTTTGCCTTCAAGGCTAAAAGCTGATGAATCTGTGGTTGAATTGTTAAAAGAGGATAACCTCTGATTCTGCGTCCCTTAGGGATTTAGTGAGTGATGGTAAACCCCATTCTGCAAAACCTTGGAAATCTAGCCTCACTTCAGGCTCTTTTCCCATACTGACTTCCCAGTGCACGTTTGCTCTGATGGAGATGATTACTCCAAGCCCTCATTACAGAAGGTCTTAGACTATCTTCCAAGGGGACACTTGATGTTCAAGAGCAGGTGCTTTGGGAACATTGATTTCCAAGTACTGGAATCTCTGCCTTTGCCATAGTCCTTGGTTACTCAGAGACCCTCTAGTAGGTGTACCTCACTCCTCCATGAATCCTCTTTGTCCCTGATTGCCTGATGGGACTGTCGCCAGCCCTCATTTTAGCTGCATAAGTATTTTTTTTTTCCCGGTTGTGGGGCTTGAACTCTGGGCCTGGGCGCTGTGCGCTCAAGGCTAAGTGCTCTACTACTTGAGCCACAGTACCATTTCTGGTTTTCTGAGTAGTTTATTGGATATAAGAGTCTCACAGTCTTTCCTGCCTGGGCTGGCTTTGAACCGAGATCCTCAGATCTCAGCCTCTTGAGTAGCTAGGATTATAGGCATGAGCCACCGGCGCCCAGCTCATAAGCATATTCTTAATGTCTGACTTTCATGAAAATGCATGGTATCCTTGGCCCCTGATCCATTTATTCAAGTCTCCCTTGAGATTCCTAGCCCATTCATTGCTGCCTCCTCCCCCTCCTCCTCCTCCTCCTCCTCCTCATGCTCCTGCTTTTCCTACTCCTCACTTTGTTCTATCCTGCAACAGTTCTTTCTTTTTGTCTAGGCCTTTTAAAAAATAAAACGTATAGCTAGAAGCTAATTGGGTAGATTCCATATAGCCTTGCTTATTTGCTTTTATTCCTGACTTCTGAATTTTGAGGATTGTGTCTGTCCACAGGGATAATAAGTAGGTTCTCCTTCCAAGTTAAGTGCCCTATTTGAGACCATACTCTTAGCCCAGAGAAGAAAATCTAAGCTGGAACATGAAAAATGATATTATTTGATAGCAGGGATAAAACTAAATGATGGAAACATTAGGTTGGGATAGGAACAATCTAGAGATAATTGTACTCATTCTGTCTTTCTGGTTTCTTTGGGATTTCCTCATGTCTGTCTCTTTAAGTTTTCTGTATTTAGACTGCCAGGGACTTGTACAATCCCAAGCCCAAAGATGTTCTTGTCATTCCCCACCCCATACTCCCTGAGTGTCCTTGTCAGCTTTACCTCTGGCAGCGTCCCTAACTTCCTTCTGTGTTGGGTATTTTAGTTGACCATACCCTCTCTTCTCTCCCCTCACACCATAAGAGAAAATATCTGTGTCTTACCGCAAATACACTTTTGTCATTACCAAACCATTCTTCCTCACCAGTGGGAAAAATCAAAAGAATCCAGAGTAGACTTGGCCTTTGTCTAAGCTGATGTGAATGGGTTACTTTTAATGCTTGGAGTCTCATTTTGTTTCATCTTCAGGTAGGAAATATTCCCAGGATCACCCAACAGCTAAAAGGGCCAGGCTTGGGCTCTCTCATGGCAGACACTCTGCTCTTCGTTATTTAGCTCTTTACTCTCTGGTTTGAGGACTGAAGTTATCATATTTGTCAGGACAAAGGGATAGAGTTCATGTCTGAAAGACGCATGTTAGTGCTCATGGATGTTGCTAGTGATGAAAGGTGGTGAGCTCCTTTCCCATGAAATTGCCTCTGTGATAAAACCCTAAACTGTATTCTCCTAGAGGTGGATTGGTGTCTATCCTGGGGGATGTGGAGAATAGCAGTTGCATTCATTTCCCAGATTGTGTTCCTGTCTCAGTCAGCCATGCTGACTGCTCAGCTGTGTGGAATTCTCCCAGTTAAGACTCTCAATGCTTTGTTTTGTTTTTTACAGAGCCTGTGTCATCTTGGGGGTGATATTCCTTCTCTCCTCCATATGTATAGTGGTCAAAGCCATCCATGACCTCTCAACTAAGCTGCTCCCAGAAGTGGTAAGGTCCTTCTTCTTCTTCTTTTCTAAAACAATTCTTTCTGCAACTCCTGTATTGCCTCTCACTACACCTTTACTTGGAGGAGCTGGGCAGGTGGTAACAGTGGTGGTGATCAAGGGGAACTCAAGGACTTTGAATAGGATGACAGGAATGCAAATAACTTGGCAGGGGGAAGTACTGGGTAGGTGAAGAGGTTTACAAATAGTTGAGCTAGTACTGCGTTCTTTGTCCTCCTTGGGACTTTTGACTAGTTTCATAGCAAGATGTCTCTTTTGGTAAAGAGAAATGGAGCAGTGATTTAATCTCTTTTTTGCATCTGTTGTTCAAGTATCCATTCTGTGATGGATGTAATAAGATTTAGTTTTTTTCTTTGCACCTCAATTCAAAACGTAAATCTTGTCACATTAGGTCTTTTTCAATATAACTTCATTCAGATATAGCAATTGGAGGATGCAATTTCATATTAAAATGTATCTTTTAATGCTCTGACCTCTGGGTGAAAGTCATTATTTGAACTTGAATTCTTTTATTTTCCCTCTTCAGCCTATCAATGCTGAGAAAAGAAATATTTGTGAAGTCTTTCATCAGGCATTCTTCAGAGAAAGCAAGTGATTTGGTTACCAGGAGATGGAGATGCTGCCATTATAGTAATGCTTAGCCTACAAGTTCACAACAATATGAATGTAAAATATGGCCTTGTAGGATATGATTTGGTTTGAGTGTGGCTATGGAGCATTGTCTTAGATAAGATCAGAACGATTCGACCATTAATTTCACTTTTAGAAAAATGTATGTGAATTCTTTTGGGGTGATGCACTGTATGGATATATTTTGGGGGCAATGGGAATGGAATGGGACATTCCAGTACATTCAGTAGAGGCTAAGTTGTTTCCTACTCTTTTTGTTTGTGCTGATATTGGGGTTTGATCTCAAGACCTGGGTGCTATTAGCTTTTCGCTCAAAACTAGTGCTCTATCACTTGAGTCTCAGCTTCACCTGTGGTGTTTTGCTAGTTAATTGGAGATGACACTCATAGATTTTTTTCCTGCCTGGGCTGGTTTAAAACTGTGATTTTGTTTTCATGTCTCAACTTCTTGATGCGTAGCCAAGATTACAGGTGTGGACCACTGGCATGCGTCTCTGCTCCCTTTTACACTGAGATTAGAGCCAGCTTTTTCATAATCCTCCAGGGCCTTAACTGTTATTGATTACTGCCATTGGCTACAAGCAGATGCTCTACTGTCTCAGTGATACTGAGGGAAAATGGATGCCAGGCTAGCAGTGTATCTACTTAGGGGATTTGATTGTTTTCAGCAAAGCAAGCTCAATCAAATCCTAGTATTTATTACAGTCTTGTGCTCTTCATTGCTTAAGTACAGAATTCCCTCACCTTGGTTGCCCTGGGGTCTTAGACTTTTCCATCCAATTTTCTATCCCATGTTCCCTTCTGTCAGAATCTGAGCATAAGAGACGAAGGCACTGAGTGTGATTGTACCTATTAGACATCAAGACATTTCTGCATCTTGCAGAGGATGCAAACCTGCTTCAACTTTAAGGAATGTTATTGAGTGAGAGTTTTTGGCAGTATGCCAGTTGACATGTCACTTATTTGGGCATTAAAAGCTAATTTCCAGCAGGGGTAACTTGACATGGAATGGATGACTGTGCACCGGCCCTTCTGAGGTTCTCATGTTTTTGTTCAGAATTACTTTTAGCTGGGAACAGTCTCTTTATTTCAAGGTGTAAAATACTCTTAAATGAAGAAACTTATCAGCCTAAATTCTATCTCAGAAAGTAACTGTCCGATGTTCTGTTCCAGGCAGGGTTCAGAGGGATTCGTAGCCCCATGGATTGGCTCAATATGGCCCCTGTCTTTGGAGATACAGTATTGCAGTTTTATCAGTTTTAGGGTGGGATTTAAGAAATTACAAACCAGGCATGTTGTGTCATCCCTGTATTCCAAGCTACTGGGGAGGCTGACATCAGTAGGATCTTGGTTTGAACCAGCTAGGGCCAGAATAATAAAAAGAAGGTTCTTGAGACCCTCATCTCAATCCATAAAAAGCTGGGTATTATAGTGCATCTGTTATCCAGCTTCATGGGAGGTGTAGGTAGAAGTATTACTGTTCATATCAACCCCTGAAGCCCACTAAGGGACAAAGTTAGTGTCTTGAAAACACTAAACAAAAAGGCTGGGTTGTAGCTCAAATAGAGAACACTTACAGTTCTTGAAGCCCTGGGTTCATTTCTTAGTACCAGAAACAAAAAAGTCACAACTATTTATGGTCAAGAACTGTTTTTTATCTTTATAGTACAGTGTAATAAATGGTTAATGACTTTTCAGGAGCTTGCGTTGGGCTTTGGGGGTGGAAGGGGGAGAGAAAGGCTGAATATCACACAGGGCCAGGTAAATGCTATCAGGTCATAGCCAAAAGTTTTTCAATTTCAAGTCGTCATTTGCTGTGCATTAGAAGTTTCTCAAAACCAGGAGGCTTTAGTCAAGCCCCAACCCCTGGCCTGCAAAAATGATCATTCATCTGTAGTACTTAATGTAAATTAGGAACCACAAACTCAAATGCCCAGAGTTAGATTTGAAGAAAATATTTGAGAAACTGGCCAGAACTGTGGTGCCCCAAAAGGGTCTGCTCAGGTGAAGGCTTTGGCCTTGGCCAGAGTTGTCATGACAGGATGTGGACCTATGTTACAAGATCTGAGTACAGAGCCCTTCTGTTCATTCAGTAGCAGGGTCTTCCTTCCCTCTGGACTGCTTTCTTTTAATTCAGCTGCACAGTTTTCAGAGTACGGACCGATGCAAGAATGGATCACTTTTGAATACGGTATCTCTGTAGTTAGGAATTACTCAACCGTGAAGTCAGCTGGTTTGAGCTTCCTCTGTGTCCCGCCCCTCGGGGTTTGTAAGAGGAGGGTAAGGCCAGCCTGGCTGTCTGGGGAACCCTTACCCAGGACTCTGGGGAGTCTGCTGCAAGTCTTCAAAAGCAAATGGCCAGAGCCTACTCCAATGCACTCTGCAGTTGTCTCCTTTGTTTGGTTAATGTAACATTCCAAAAGAGCCTCCTGTGAAATTGCATGGATCAGGAGGTAGTGCTTTATAGCATGAAGAAGACCTCTAAACAAGAACAAACAACTTCCAAAAATCTCTGGCTCTATTTACCCGTGGACTGCCTTACCCATTGTCTTTTAGCTAATGTTTTAGTTTTTAGCTGGCCAATGAAAATTGTGTGTGTTTATAGGGTGTGGCAAAATGTTTTCATACATCTACATTGTAGAATGGCTGATGTGGGCTGCTTTAAAAGGAGCATCATGTTCTTCTGGTTCTGTTCCATTGTATTCCACTTTGGTAAAGAAGGGTGGGTGGTATGCTTCTCTCTCTCTCTCTCTCTCTCTCTCTCTCTCTCTCTCTCTCTCTCCCTGTATCTCTGTCTCTGTCTCTGTCTGTCTCTGTCCTGTCTCTGTCTCTGTCTCTGTCTCTGTCTCTCTCTTGCTTGCTCTCTCTCTCTCTCTCTCTCTCTCTCTCTCTCTCTCTGCTGAGATACATAGCTTCAAGAGCTGAAGTGATCTTCTGCAGCCTGTCAACAACCTGATGATAGGGCCTGGACTTGGACTCTTATCTTCTTGTCTAGAGCTGTCTTGGCTCTGAGGTCCATGGACCTGATGGCTCTTTCTGCCCACTGGCTTTTGGGCCCTGGTCATCCTAATATCTCCTCCTTTTTCTCCTAGAGGCAGTGTTAACGAGGGGCTATGGTGGAGGTAGAGTGTCCAGCGTCCTCCCTCTCCCCGAGCTGGCCTCACTTTTGGTGACTCCTGCCATCTCGCCTCTTTCCACACAGGCCCCACTGCACCTCATGACACTGATCGCCATGCCCATTTTACCTTGTCTCTTAAGAGATCCACCATCTTGTGAGTCAGCAGCATGCAGCTGGAAAGGGATGGAGTGAGGGGGTCCCTAGATGCATGGAGTCTCACAGAAGGTGGCTGATCTGACTCATCTCTGCTGCTGCTTCACCTAGGAGGCCACAGGCACATCACATGCTCTCTCTGGTGCTTGGTTTTGCATATAAAAGAGAATTCCTTATGCCAGAGGTTTACAATAAGGATCCAATGAGCAATTTATTTAAAATCATTGGAATTCAAAGATGACAGTTGCCTCTTTAGGTTCTGCTTTTTGGAGTTTCTAAACTACTATTTGAAATGGCCCCAACTCCCAACTTGAGGCCTTAGAGGTCATTTTGGACTGGGTTCCTGGGCCCTGTCTCCCTGCCTCCGGATTCCTTCTCTTCCCTCTGGCTGTGGTAGCTTCTTTGATACTTGTCTTTTGAGTTCCCCTGTGCCCCTGGTACCTGCACTGGTTCTCTAGATAGGACTAGAATTGCTCTGAATAGGCTTCAGGTCACCATGGCTAACTTGGAGCCATGCTGTCATAGAGCACAAGGCAATCTCTGAAGACCAGCTCACTTGTTGGCTGGATGGCTTTCAGCACATCATTTCTTCTCTGTGAGAAGAGTTTCCTCATTTTTGAAAGGAATTGAAGTACCACCTACACCTCAGCAACAATTGTAAAAATTAAATGCCATGATGAGAGCGGGATTGCTTTATAAACAGTCTCCTGTATTGCAGAGGAAGAGAATTCTTTTATTTTCTTTTCTTTATTTTTATTTTTGTCGACTGTGGGGCTTGAACTCTGGGCCTGGGTGCTGTCCCTCAGCTCTTCAGCTCAAGGCTAGCGCTCTACCACTTGAGCCACAGTGCCACTTCCGGTTTTCTGGTGTTTTATTGGGTATAAGATTCTCACAGACTGTCCTGCCTGGGCTGGCTTTGAACTGCGATCCTCAGATCTCAGTGTCCTGAGTAGCTAGGATTATAGGTGTGAGCCACCCACACCCGGCTTATTTAATTTTTATTCCAAGGCTCTAGGAGCCATGTCCTGCCCCTGCCTTTTCTTTCTATCCTCATTAGTCATCAGCATGCTACTTCCTTCCCTC